CCTTGCCTCCTGCGGGTTCCCTCCTCCCCGCCGCCGCCCGGGCCCCCACTCCCTTAAGCCTCCGGGTGACTCGCCCGCCGGCTCTCGCGCTTCTGTTGGTGGGTCCCGCGCCCAGCGCCCTCCAGGACCCTCCGGTGCGGCGCCCGCGGCCTGGGTCTCCCTCCCGGGCACGGCCTTGCCTCGGTTGCTTGCTTCGCTCGCTCCTCTCGTTCCTTTCTTGCTCTGGACCGCTCACTGGACTTGTTTTCTTATTTCCTCCCTCTCCCTGTCCCCAGTCTTGTCTCTCTCTTGCCTCTGTGTATGTTCTCTCTTGTCTCTCGCGCCCCCTCCCAGCCCCGTGCGTGTTTCTTTTCTCAGTCTCTGGTTCTCTCCCTGTTTCTCTCTCCTGCCTTATTTCCTCTCTCCATCTCACTGCTTTTCTGTCTCTGGCGATCCTTCCCTCCTCTCTTCTCCGATAGCCTCCCAGGCGCTCTGTGCACCCTACCAGCCTCTCACTCGGCCTTTCTGATCCACAGCCCCTCGCTATCTGTCCTCCAGCATACACTCCTAGCCTCTCCTTCCACCGTCTTCAGTGAGGCGTTGTCCATGCCTCAGGCCCCTAGGCCTGGACACTACCAGGGACAAGGGGGCACCAATGCCTCAGACCCCATGACCTGTCCCCCAAATCCCAGCCCCATAAGAGGATTGTCACAGTGACAGGGCGGGGAATTAATGCTCAAACACATAGATCAGGAAAACAAGAAAAGAGAAAATAGTTCAGGCATGTAACAACTTGTAGTGACAACTTGGTCTGGAGTGGGTGACCCTAGAAAGCCCTCAGTTACCTCCTGCGGTGACTCAGGTCTGCCAGCCACTGTCCTCAGTCAGGCACTTCCCCTCTGCTGGGGACTTTGGCCCTAAAACCCCCAGACTTAATGGAACATTGGCAGCACATGAGCCAGCACTTGGCACCCTTCTTCCAACTCAAAAAGGGAAGGTGGTGTTGTTCCCAGAGCCACAGAGCCCGGGATCGGGCACCCTGCATGGGGCCACCGAATAGTGGGCCCTCAGAAATTGTGATGGTGGCTAAAACAGGACAGCCCCACGCCCACTTTACACGTTTTTCCTCAGTTCCCTCCTGAAGCTGGCATGATTATTGTCCCCACTTTACGGATTCAGAAATTGCAGCCCTGAAAGGTGAAAGAACCCATCCAAGACACAAAGAACTAGAATGTTTGAAAGAAATTCTCCCTGCTCTGAAATTGTCTCTCTCCCCACCCCCAGACAAGCTCTGGACTCTCAGAATGGTTCCCCCATCAGACTGCAAGATTGCCCAGTAATGCCCAGTGGTTCTTCCTGACCTCCAGAAATCCAGACTTGGGTCTGGGCCAGAAGGAAGGGCAGGAATTTCTCAGTGCCCAGGAGGGGCAGGCAGGAAAGGCCAGACCTACAGCCACCCCCACTTCCCTCTCCCCAACACCCTGACTTTCTGTCCCATCATGCCTGCCTTTTCCTAGTCCCTCTGCCATCCTTGGCCCCCGCCCCCCCCCCCACACACACACACTGCTTTGATAACCAGAGGTGTCCGGCTGCAAGAAATTGGACACTCAGTCCACCAAGTTTCAATGTCTCTTGGTGTGAGTGGGGCATGTTACTCCACCCATGATAGGGGGATGTGGGGGGCAGCAGAAGAATACTTCATCAGCCCCACCCCCAGCCCAGCATCAGTCCCTTATCTTTTTCTAGCGTTTCTCTGTCCCCTCTCTGTTTTTATCTGCTTGCTCCTCCAGGCTTTTCTCTCTTTGTCACTCCCCCTTCTTTTCCGCTCTTTCTGTCTCTTTGTGTTTGTATCTCTCTTGGTCTCTCTCACTCAGACTCTCTCCCTCTCTGCCTCCCGCCCTCAGGCCCCTCCTCGTTTCCTTCCTGTCTCCCAGCTCATCTTGTTGCGTCCTGCAGCTCCCCCCACTGAGCCTTGAGGATAATGCTCCACATTGCCACAGACACTCATCCTAATAGAGGATTCTGGGCATATTGAACCTAAGCCCCCGGCCAAGCTACGTACTAGGACTCAGGAGCCTGCTGGGGATGTGGAGGGCTGGGTCAAAGGTCTGGTCAAGGTCCAAGTGACCTCATGTAAGCATAAGGTGGGAGTGGCTGTGTGGCCTTGGGCAAGGAACTTGCCTTCTCTGAACCTCAGTTTCCTCACTTTCAGAACTCGAACTGTCTTAATAGCACACCTTTGAGGCTGTAAAATTTGGAGAACATAACGCAGTGGAAAGCATGCAGGCACTCCATAAACAACATTTCCTCTATCTTCTTGCAATGAGCAACCACCCATGCAGCCCATGCTGGGGACGGGAAGGTAACACAAGACCCAGGCCCCACTTCCTGCCCTGAGCCCCATGGTGGTTGGTCAAGCAGCTGTCTACTGAGAACTGAGGCCCACTCTCAGCATACATGATTTATGCTACCCTCGGAGCTGACTCGCAAGCCCATTTCACAGATAGGGAAACTGGGGGAGGTTAGCAAGATGCTTTCTCCTTTTTACCCACTAGCTGACCAGGATGGGCTATGGGTGGCAGCCTCCCTATACTCCTGGCTGGGTAGAGTAAGTGCTGGCCAAACCAATGAGTAAACCGATGAGTGAACCCATGTTTTCATTGCCCTTGCTGAGGTGTGATGTAGCATCCTCCCAGAAGGATTCTAGAGGGAACCTAGGAGAGATGGGTGGTCTCCAGGGCAGGAGAGTTAGCTGGGACCTAGTATTAACTATATGCTGTGAACTGCAAGGTCAGCAGTTTGAAACTACCAGCTGTTGCACGGGAGAAAGATGAGGCTTTCCGCTCCTGTAAAGATTTACAGCCTCGGAAACCCTGTAGAGGGTCGCTATGAGTCGGAACCGACTCCACGGCACATAACAACAATCCAGATTAGCCAATTTTGGATTAACTAAACTAGCACTGCAGGGCAATTCAGTCTCTTTGCATGTTTGTTCTTTTCCCCAAGCTTTCCCATTATATCAAGATGAGTTGTCAGTGTGGGGCTACTATGCCTCTAACGCCTCTCTGGGATTTTTAATCTTGTCCATTTTTAATAGAGAGGTCTCCAGCTGCACGCTGCTGACATTCACATTCTAGAACTGACTTACATCTGAACCCTGGTAGCAATTAAAAAGGGAGTTAAAGACAGCTATGAAGCAGGTCCTTGGAAACCCTACACAAGGTCGCTATGGGTCGGAACCAACTCGACAGCACTTAACAGCAACAAATGAAGTAGGTCCTAATTCAGGTGATACAAAAATGACTGAAATCTGGGAAATATTGACCTAATTCCACAACTTTGTGGCCTGTACCCAGTAGTTAGTAGCAAGGTTGGCCCAGAGGAGGCAGCTAGATCTTTCAGCTCCTCCTCACCAGGGTTCGCTCCCGCCCAAACTCAACTCTCTGGCAAGCCCAGGGCTGAACTACAAGGAGGAAATGTTTTTCTTCTTCAATTGGAAAAAATAACAGTGGGCTCAGGGCTGTGCTGGGAGGAGGAGGCGCCTGTCCCTGGACCCCTGGGCCCAGCCTTGGAAAATGCTTTTCCTTCCTGCAGGAAATGTTCCTGACATGCTAAGCCCTCAGAGCTCTGCCTTGGTGACAAGAACGTGCTGGAAGCAGAATCCTCCCCGATGCCTCCGTGCTAGAGAGTGACAGGGATCGCTGTGGTCTATGAGGGGCTTTCCAAGCCCTGGTTCAGTTCTTCCTGAGAGCAGCCCTTAGAGCTGAGTTGAATCAGCCCATTTCACAGAGGAGAACATTGAGGTTCAAGTTGTGCCCTCTTGCTTAGAGCCACTCAGCTCATTGTCGTCCAAACTCTCCTCTTAGCTGGGCTCTGATTCTGGTCACCTGAGTGACAATGGTATCACCTGTCTCAGCTCATTGCCCTTGTCTGGAGTAGGGGTCCTATATAAACACAGTGACCAGTGTTAGCACACCATAAAGGGTGGTGTCCACTGCCCTCCAAGCTCCCAAATGCAGGCTCCTGCCCCCCAAGTTCCCTGAGGGACAGCAAGGTGTGGTTTCTCCAATCCACATTTTACCCATGCAGAAGAGAGGCCCAGAGCCACATGTCAATTGTCACCCTCAGAGCAGTCGCCATGGGTGAGGGGGCGTCTGTTTAATCAGCCCTCCAACAGGTCCCTGTGACTAGTCTGTCCTCTCTTCTTATAAAGCCAGACACTCACGTTAAGAGAAGTCTGGATGCTTGTCTGAGGTCACACCACAAATGGGCGAGAAGGGAATCCTGCCCCTCTCTTGCCCTCTTGCCCCTCTGCACTCGACAGCCTGTCACTGCCGCCATGCCCCACGTATGCAGCCTGGGAGGGGCTGGGGTGACAGAAAACACAGCACCCATTACACTAACGTGTTTAAATTAAGACAGTGTGTGCTGCTGTGGGGCTCTTCTGTTGGCTTTTCCCCAGCTCCGCACTGATGCCACCCCAGGGATCTCGTTTCAGGGATCAGGAGGGACAGCTCTGCCTCTCCTGTGGGAGGCAAGCCCTTGGGGCTTCTTTCTCGCTTTTTGTCCCTGTGGGCCAGAAGGAAATGGTTCTCATTCCTGCGTGTGAGAGGCACCCTCTCCCCCACTCCGGGCATGGCCTTGGTCAGGGAGCAGCCTGGCCTGCTGAGCCCCCGCGTGGCCCCTTTGTGCTCTGTGCATCGGATAATGGGCGGCATTCTCAGACGCCCAGTCATGGGTCTGGGACTGGGAAGGGGCCCTGAGCAGCTCCACA